GGGGACCAGTGAGCCAAGGTGCCCTCTCAGGGTGTCATTTGGTGTGGGCGTGAAGAAAGCCCTGGAGCTAGCCCAGCAGAACCCCAACATGGAGCTGCCAGCATGTCGGTCATCTCCTAGGGCCTGCTGTTTGCCGGCACCAGGACTGAACTCTGTTTTTGGAATTTTCTTACTGAGCTTATTCAGACCGTGTATGGAGGGGAACAGCGTATGCCGAAGTAGACTTCCCCATGAGACCAGCTTCGGGTAAACACTGGAGATGCTGAAAGAGGCAGGAAGGAAGGAGGCTGGGAGACATGGCAGAAGCATTTTTTCAACCAGTTGCCATAGAGTCCATTCCAACTCATGGCGACCCCATCTGTGTCAAAATAAAACTGTGTTCCATAAGGTTTTCAATGGCTGATTTTTCAGAATTAGATTGCCAAGCCTGTGAAGGGACTCAAACCTCTAACCTTTTGTTTGAAGTCTAGAGTGTTAACCATTGCATTAACCCAGGGACTCCAGAACTTTTTAAAAACATATTTTTAAGTGGACATTTAGCAGGGATAACCTCCTACCCTACTCTTTTTGTAACACAAAGGAAGCACTTTGAATAGTTGGTTAGGCTTAAGAAATATTACCTTTTAGCAGTTTACAACTATATTTATCACATATTATTCTGTGACTACTCTGGTGGCACAGTGCCTAAGGCATTTGACTAAAATAGATAATAAACGTTACTAAGGATTCTGTCTGGTTCAAGAGGAGGTCCACGATGCAGGAATCATACCATGCATTATCACGTTGGATGACACCAGCTCTAGTGACGGCTCTATGGGGAGGAAGGCCTATTTGTAGGTTAATGCTGACGGGCACTTAAAGCATGCCCTCTGAAGACCTTCACTCTCTCAAAAACAGGCTGTAGAACACAGTGGAAATCACATGGGCCAAAAGGAATAGGACACTGCATTTCTGTTTGCCCCCTCCACTGTGGCTTAGCTAATCGGAGCCAGTCACCCCCACCCTCCAGTTTAGAAAGAAGGAACGGTGATGCTTACTTTCTCCTTCTTCTTAGGAGTGCCTGGAAGGTTTGGACACTGCCTTAAATGCATATTGCTTCTTTGGGAATGGCCTGCATGCTTCTGTTTTACAATCATCTTCATTAACAAGAGGGAGCTCTGGTGGCATAGTGCCTAAGGCATTTGACTGCTAACCAGAAGGCTGGAGGTTCAAATCCACCAGCCACTTCTCAGAAGGAAGATTGGGCAATCTACTTCCGTATTGTTACTGCCTCAGAAACCCAAGGCGGGATCGCTATGAGTTGAAGCAATTTGACGGCAGTGAGTTTGGTGGTTTTTTTTTTTTTAATTAACGAGAACACTTTAGAGAAAACAATCCTGTTTCAAACCCAGGCCCACTTCTCCCCTTACTTCTACAACCACTGCTGCTGCATGAGTTCCTTTAAACCAAACGGTGACTGAAATGTCCAGCATACCCCCAACCGACCTGGTGCACCTTCCTTAGGGCCCTCTTGGCCAACCAGCACTCTAGGTTTCCTTGATATCAGAGTTCCAACTTCTACAACTGTATATCTTTATCTCCTGGTTCATACCTAGTACAGTATAGAGCTTCAAGTAGGCACAGAATAAATGAATGATGTATGAATATACTTGCTAGAATTTTAGAGCTAGAAAAAAATAATATAAAACAGTAATAATAACAAGTTATTATTATTAGGCACCATCCTAAGCATCTTAGTACTTCATTTTATTTAATCCTCACAAAAACCCTGTTGTGTAAAGTACACACTAATATTATTCTCTTACTTACCCTTGGGCACTAGATAGTAAGTGCAGAGCCAAGACTCAGGTCAAGCTCCTCATATTATTTTGTTGTTGTTAGCTTCTGGGGAGCTACTAAGTTGCCAATTTATGGATGATTTTCAGAAGCAGACCACCTGGGCATCTCTTCCTAATCTTAGTTTGGAAGCTCTCCTGAAATCTGTTCAGCTGCATAGCAACATGCAAGCCTCCACTGACAGATTGGGACTAGCTAGCTATACATGAGGTGTACTGGCTGGGAATAGAACCTGGGTCTCCTACATGAAAGGCAAGAATTCTACCAACTGGACCAGCAATGTCCTCATCTTTGTATCACACACCCTCATACTATGGATGTAGAACCTGAGGCCAGGGAGGCAGCCTGCTAGTGTCTCCCATTACTGTCGGGCTGGTGGATCTGGCCCCTTGAGGAGCCTGCCAGTCTGTGTCCAAATCCCAGGTTCATCTCCAAAAGAAGCCCCTGTTAGCAGCTCTGGGTCTGAGAGTGGCCTGGGGATTTTTGGTCCAGTTACCCAAATAGGAAAGACCAGGCCAAGAACTGAGTAGGGGGAACTTGACTTTTGCTGTTCCCATGCCTGCGGTCCAGTGTTGCCTCACTCCCACCAGGATCTCTGGAGGCTGAGCTGGTCAAGGCTGGGGCCAGCTTCCTCAAAACATGTGTCCAGGCCCTGCCCACATCCTGGTGGGCCTTAGATGTGGTTGCCTCCATACTTGAATACAAATCTAGTGACAGCAGCCTTGACACATCTTGAGCCAATCAGGGCAATGCCAACCCCACAGAGCACAGGGCAGTGCCGGGGGGGCATTAGGAATGTTCCATGCCTTAGGTGTTGGTTTCTTCTTTAGTTTTTCCTCCCTTTTTCTTTCCCCTAAGTGTGTGTGTGTTGTGCTGGGGGAGAGGTGGGAGGAATATTAAGAAAGCCTCAAAACTAAGTGGTAAATTGGATTCAAAAGAAGTCAGAGGGTCCTGATATCTACAACTTGATGAAACTTGAAAATATTATGCTGACTGAAATAAGTCAGACACAATAGAATAAATATTACATGATCTCACTTATATGAAATAGGGAAATGCATAGGGACCCAAGTTTATCAGTGGTTACCAAGAGCGATGGAGAAAGGGGAGTCACTGCTTAGGGGGCACTGAGTTTCTGTTCAAGGTGGTGGAATAATTTAGAAAAGGACAATATGATGGTTGCACAGCATGAAGAACATAGGCAATGTCACTGGATTATCCAGGTAAAACTTGTTGAATTTGCAAATGTTTGTTATGTATATATTTACCACACACACACACACACACACACATGCACACTAAATGTCCAAAAAAGAAGAAGCCAAAGGAGAAGGCTGTGGGCAGGAGGGCAATGTCAGTAGCTGTGAGAAGGGGAGCCTCAGAGCTAAGTCAGGCTGGCCTGGCCTCACAGTGAAGGGTGAGGAGTGCTTTAATCAGTCTAACACCACCTCTCTTGAGATTTGGAAGGAGCACAGGGGCGGACAGGTGCTTCCTCTGCGTAGAGCTCACCAGAGAGAATGATGTGTGCTATTTGAAAGCAACAAGCCAGGCTGTGAAGAGGTAGGAGCTGTGTATGGTCAAAGGCAGGGGGCTCAGGATGCCTGTGACGTACCTCTCATGGGGCACAGTGCATATTTCATTCTCTGGAATACTGGAACTCAGGTTAGTGAGAAATGAGTGCAGCTTGTTAAATGAGAGAAAATGAGGAACAAGAATTGACAGATTTCTTTGAGTGTACAGGAACAATCACAAAAGTCACTGACCAATGTGAGATGCACCTGTGAAAATGGTGTGGGGGCATCTCTGACCTCCTGTAACTTCTCAAGGGGGCAGAATCATCATCAGCATCACCAGTCCCTGGCTGAGTCCTATGAGGTGGAGGTCAGACATACCTCCTTTCTCCAACCAGGACAATTTCTTCTCAGTTGTGCTGAAGGCAGACCTCTCTCTGGTTCTTAGAGTCCCCCACCCCCCAGAAGCCTGCTGTGCTGGTCTGGCCTTTGCTCTGCTCAGGCAAGTGTTACAAAGCTCTCTTAACTCTGCCTGGAGGCACATTGCTCTGCCAGGAAGTCTGCCCAAAAGTACTCAACTTTCTTGCTCCATTGCACTGTTTCCTGCTGGTCTCCCCCCAGTCTCCTGATGCTCTCCTGGTTCTGCTACATCTGCTGTCACCATTTCTTTGCTATGCTTCTCACCATCCTTCACCGTCTCTCCTCATCTTCCAGTGTTACAGCTCTCTCTTTTTCTCTGTCTCTTGGGTGTAGGAGATTCTCAGCACAGAGACCCTGGGTCTATAGGATGCACTCCATTCCTGGCTCTTCTTTCTTGGTGGTAGGGAAATTCCACTCCCTCCCATTTGCTCTGAGATGGACTTTCTTTTAAGCCTAATGGGATGGCAAAACTGACAAATATTCTCATTAGAGTTTCATTCACCTTATTTGTGTGGTCCCACCCCCACAAGGGTGCATATGCCCTATTTACATTACTAGCAAGCTGTGAAATTCCTTTGGTGGGCCACAAGTACTTCATTTGCATAATCTCACCCAATCATTTGGTGGGAGTTACAAAGACTGTGGCTGGAAGAGCCATATTAAGTAATTCAGTGTACTGCAGCACCCATAAACCAGTGACCATAAACCAGATTCTCCATAGTAACAAAGACATCTGTTACCATTAACTAGCTCAGGGCTTATCTTGTGCAAAGAAATCAACTTTAGGGAATTTCCCTTGCTTTTTGGGAGATAATCTTTGGAATTCCCTATCTTTATTATTTTAAAAAACTTGGGACAGCACTTGAGGATTTGTGGAAATGAACAGGGTCACAGAGACTACCTAATACCTGACTTCAGCTGATCTCATACAAGGGGCATCAATCCTGTTGAGACTAAGCCCATAGTTAATTTTACACCATTTCCCCATTTTCTCCTTAAAATCCTCATCGAAACTAGCTGCATTGAGCCATTAAAAAAAAAAAAAAAAAGTCTTCCTGTATGCACACAGAATAACTGCTCAATAAACCTTATATACTTCAATTTATTTATGCTTTGATTTTTTTAGCAAGGTCAAAAGGCATTGGAAAGGTTTATGTTTCCATGGGATAGATGGGAAGGGGAGAAGCAGGTGCTATACCCTAGACTCTTTTGTTTTCTCTCTCTGTCCTGCAGATATGATTTAGCTATTAAAGATCTGAAAGAGGCCTTGACGAAGCTTCGAGGGAATCAACTGATAGACTACAAGATCCTGGGACTGCAGTTCAAGCTATTTGCCTGCGAGGTAAGGAGGGCAGGCTAGGCAGGAGTGCACCCTGGGTGATGGTCAGGTAGCTGGCTATCTTTTGACACTCTAAGAACCTGGAAAAGTCATTCACTTCCTGTGGTTTGGGATGCAGATTTTCCCTTAAGAAGAGGCTCCCATGGATGACTTCAGGTTCCCTATGAAGTCACCAGTTACCTGAGGGCATGCATTCATGAGTAGGAGGCTCTAAGGACCATGCATAAATGAGCAAAGGGAGCGGAGAGGAGATTGAACACCTGTATGTTGGCCTGTGGAAGTATTCATCACAATTTGCATGCTTTGTTTGGTTATTCAGTTGACTTACGTCTTAGCTAGTACTGCTGTAGCAGAAATACCACAAGTGGATGGCTTTAACAAACAGAAATTTATTCTCTCACTGTTTAGGAGGCTAAAAGTCCAAATTCAGGATGCCAGCTCTAGGGGAAGTCTTTCTCTCTCTGTTGGCTCTGTATAAAGGTCATTGTCTCTTTTCAACATCTGTAGGCCTGGCATTCCTTAGAGATCTCCATGTCTTCACATCAGTCTTCCCTTGGGTCTTGAGGTTTTCAGTGCAGGCACCCTGGATCCAAAGGATGTGCTCTGCTCCCAGTTAGTCAGGTCCCTCCTTCTCTGCTAATTTCTCTCTCCTTTTATCTCTTGTAAGATAAAAGGTGATGCAGGCCATACACCGGGAAACTACCATTACATAGCATCTGGTCTGTGATCTGATTAAGGCTGTTGCATCTCACTCTAAACCCTTTACAGAGATTGGCTGATCACATCATGGAGGATAATTCCATCATCACATAACTGCCAAATTACATCACTGCTTAACTGCCAAAGCACTGAGAATCATGGCTCAGTCAAGGTCAATTCATGACAATTTATTTACTTAGCATTATACTATGAAACCCCAAATTATGTGTTCACTATCCATCCAGGAGGAGCCTTGGTGGCTCAGTGGTTAAGTACTTGACTGCTGAGCAAAAGGTTGGCAGTTCTAACCCACCAGCTGCTCCATGGGAGAAAGATGTGGCTGTCTGCTTCTGTTAAGATCACAGCCTTGTAAACCCTACAAGGCAGTTCTATTCTCTCCTGTAGGGTCACTATGAGTCAGACTTGACTTGACAGTAATGGACTAATGGGATCCATCTAGGAGGACTCTCTGGGTCCTTGACTACTAACTGAAAGGTTAGCCGTACAAGCCCACACAGAGGCACCTTGGGAGAAAGCCCAGCAATCTATGTCCAAAAGATGACAGCCATTGAAAACTCCATGGAGCACAGTTCTACTCTGACACACATGGGGTCTCCGTGAGTCTGAACAGACTCCAGGGCAGCTGGTTTTCATTTGTCCATGCATGACCCACCATAACCTTGCTCACTTCCCAAGTACAGAGCACATTTCTTGCCATTAATAGTCTTTACTCCATGTACTTGGTTGATAATAGATAAATCCTTCACTCTCTCCCCAGCCTGCCAGTATCTACTCTTGACACCTAACAGTTGAGACCCAGAGAGTGAGGATAATTTGGCACAAATCTGTTCCCTCTTGCTCAAAGAATAACTCCAAACACAAATTTAGGTAAAAGTTTCCATAGAAGAACCCTTGTTTTCTATAGTTCCAAAAGGGAGGAACATGATTGACATGCACTTTTTCCCACCAACCATTCCCACTGTCCCCTACCCCCAAATATGCATCAGTAGTTTTAAAAACTAAAATCCTTATAAACACGGCAGATCTTTATTTAGAAGAACCTCTAAAAAAGGTCCCCCTGCCTTAGTTTCTCAGGCAAGAGAAGCCAAGTGTTTCCAGGGTTGCTCGGGACTAAAAATAAAGTCTGCAGCTGCCTAGGTCCCTGGGGATGTGTCTCCGTCTCAGCCCTGCAGCAAGCCAAGCAAATGACTTCATTTCTCATAGTCTAGGAAATGAGGCTTTGTGGCAGGAAGCAGGTGACATTTGGCCAGCTTCTAGAGGAGGCTTCTCAACCATGGCACTATTGACATGTTGGATCAGGTGATTCATTGCTGTAGGGGTCTGTCTTGTGCACTGTACAATGTTTAGCAGTATCCCTGGCCTCTAATCACTAGATCCTCCCAGTGTAATGAATTAAAACATCTCTACATGTTGTCAGTTGTCCCAGGTTGAGAACCACTTATATGCATTAAAGGGTTGGGGGAAGAGCTAGCTGGCTTTAGAGACAGGATCACGTGAGAGAGGCATGCAATAGAGAATATTCCATGGAAGAAATTTTCTCCCTGTAGTAGGACTGAAATGACTTGTGGGGCAGGAAATATGGGCTGTATGGATGCCTTTGGGAGTGAGGCTGTTTTACTGAGCTGCTAAGCAAAAGATTGGTGGTTTGAATCCACCCAGTGGCTCCATGGAAGAAAGAACTGGTGGTTTGCTTTTGTCAAGATTATAGCCAAGAAATCCCTGTGGTGCTGTTCTCCTGTCACATAAGGTCACTATGAATCAGAATTGACTCGATGGCACCTTACAACAACAAAGGGCCTCTTTGCCACATGAGACCCTCTAGTCACTGCTCTACTTATAATCACCCCTCATTTCCACCTTGGCATAACTCTGCTTTGAGTTTTTTCTTCTTTTTGAAAAGAGTTTCAGACTTTTTCAGTCATCAAGCTATAAAAATCTGTTGTGGGAAAAGGTCTGAAAAGAAGGTAGCTAAGAAGCAAAAAAGAAGTTCTAAATGGCCTTGGTCCAGTGGCTGTCTGCTTCCGTAAAGAGCACAGCCTTGTTAACAACTAGACCAATAGCAGCATCATGATACATGGAGAAAAGATTGAAGTTGTCAAAGATTTCATTTTATGTGGAGCCACAATCAACACTCACAGAAGCTGCAGTCAAGGAATCAGAAGTCATATTGCATTGGGCAAATCTGCTGCAGGGGACCTCTTTAAAGTGCTGAAGAGCAAAGATGTCACTCTGAAGACTAAAGTGTGCCTAACCCAAGCCATGGCATTTTCAATCATCTCATGTGCATGTGACAGCTGGACAATGTTAAGGAAGATCAAAGAAGAATTGATGCATTTGAATTGTGGTGTTGGTGATGAATACTGAAAATGCCATGAACAAATATGTCCTGGAAGAAGTGCTGCTGGAATGCTCCTTAGAAGCAAGAATGGCCAGACTTCATCTCACCTGCTTTGGTCATGTTGTCAGAAGGGACCATTCCTTGGAGAAGGATATCATGCTTGGTAAGGTGGAGGATCAGCGAAAAAGGGGAAGACCCTCAATGAGATGGATTGACACAGTAGCTGCAATGATGGGCTCACAGATAGCAAGGATTGTGGCACAGGACCAGTCAGTGTTTCATTCTATTGTACATAGGGTTGCTATGAATTAAAACCAATTCAATGACACCTAATAACAATGACAAATGGCCTTGAGTTTCTTCTGCACATATGGTTGGGGTGGGTTGCTGAAGATAAGGGTGTATGCGGGAAGCAGCAACTCACTGGAGTCTCAGAAACAGGCCTGGAAGTGAGTCTTGATCTCCACTTTTGCATCTTGCTCCATGCCGCCACTGTCTCCCTTTAAAAAAAAAAACAAAAAACCAAACTCACTGCCATTGAGTTGATTCTGACTTATAGTGATCCCTTTGGGTTTCTGAGGTGGTAAATCTGTATGGAAGTAGATTGCCCAGTCTTCCTTCCATGGAGTGGTGGTGGGTTTGAACCTCCAACCTTTTGGTTAGCCGTCAAATGCACTATTTCCCTTCCAAACTAGATTGCACTAACCTCCATGGAAATACCAGTCCTGCTACTCATCCATACTTGCCTTGATAAACTTTTTTTTTTTTAATCTGGATGTAGCCCTGAACCAAATCATGATGTAGGGGGCAGACTGATTTAGAGGAGAAGTGTATTAGTTATCTATTGCTGAAAAGCAAATTATCCCAAAATGTAATGGTTTTAAATAATAGATATTATGTCAGCTTCTGTGAGTTAGCAATCCAAGAGTGGCATAGGTGGGTGATGCTGGCTCAGAGGTTCAATTAAGTCATTGGTTAGGACAACAGTCATCTGAAGATGTGACTGAAGCTGGAAGATCCACTTCAAAGACAACTTATACATCTCACTTGCTTGGTAGGAAGCCTCAGCTTCTCACCACATAGGCCTCTCTACAAGGCTGCTTGAGTGTTCTCATGACATAGTAGCTGGCTTCCTCGGAGCAAGTAATTGAAGAGAAAGTAAGACTGAGTGTCAATGTCTTTTATGAAGTAGCTCTGTGCTTGGAAACATAAGAATCCCTAGGTGGCATCAATTTATAAAACCCAGCCCAGTCACTTTCCCCAAAGCCATGTGTTATTTTCCCAGGAAGGCATGCAAGATCTTGGGGGATGAGCACCCTTCTGTGCTCAGTTTGCCAATAGGTCCCAAGACAGTATAGCAGGTAATAGAAATAATAGTAATGAGTATTTATTGAGCACCCATTATATGCCATTCAATCGAACTCAGTGTTTTATATGAATTATTTCATCTATTTATTAAAGCAATCCTGAGCTAGGAAACATTATTGTTACCATTTCATAGAGGATAAAACTGAGGTCACCCAGCTAGGAAACATCTCAGAGAGCCTGTGCTCTTAACCCACCCACTGTGCTGGTATAGCTTGGAAGGGCCAGCAACCCCTTTCTGTAGTTTCGCCTCAGTTGACCGGTTGTTTCTCCTGTCCGAGGTCCGTGGTCCAAGGTGTGACATGCCACACACTACCTATGGCATCAGGCTATGACTCCTCTACTTTCTATCTATGAAAAGCTTGCAGCAGCTGCTGGCTTTGCAACCCATTCCTCACCCATGGTGCGGGAGAGTCATAAGAACCGAATCTTTTAATGTCAGGAAAAAGGAAGTCAGCCCTTTGGCTTAGCTGCCATCTTGTTGCTTTTCTTCTGCTCCTGCTGCTCTTCCTTCTATGTTTGAGAGTCTTTTTAACTTTCAGTCAAAAAAAAAAAACAAACCACTCACTGCCACTGAGTCAGTTCTGACTCATAATGACCCCCATTGGGTTTCCGAGGCTTTAAATCTTTACTGAAGTAGATCATCCCATCTTCCTTCTGTGGAGCAGCTGGTGGGTTTGAACTGCTGACCTTTTGGTTAGCAGCCAAATGCCTTATCTACTATGTCACCAGAGCTCTCTTTTAGTCCCTAGTAGTCCTTTTTTTACTTATTGATATACATAAAAGATTATTTTATTATATATATATATGTTATAAAGCATAATAATAAAATAATAAAACAAACTCATGAACCTACCACTCAGCTCAAATCCTGGAAACTTACTATTCCAAGACCTAGAATGTTGTTGATTTTCTATCCCTTTCCTGCCTCAGTGAAGCACTTTTCTGGGTTTTGAGCTGAGTCTCTTTCCAACTCCCCTGGACTTTGCCCAGAGAGTTTCCTCATCCCAGCACTATGTGACAATCTTGTTACTCAGTGTTCCAGGCACATGTTGGTCTGGCGCAGAACAATGCATCTGGAACCCTCTCCCTAGCCCTTATCTGTCCAGTGTTGTAGCCTAGGCTCATGGCAGAAGCTGGACTGGGAGGCCACGAGCCTAGGCATTTAATTCCTGGCTCTGTCTCTGCCTCTTCAAGAGACCTTGAGGAGTCACCCTTCTCAATACTAAAACAACATAATCAATCTTGTCCTCTCTTGATTTACATAGTTGTTGATAAAATGCACACATTATTGGATTTATGCATTGCATGATGTTTGCTTAGCACCATGTTTGATGTAAAACCAATTGTACTATATTTTAGATATTCCCAGGAGAACTGGGAAAGGGAGAAATGTCACCAGACAATATCCCAGGAGTGTACATGGAAGTATTCCTGGTACCTCGATTTGAAGTAGTTCTGTCTTATGTTGTGACCTGTGCTTTTCTAGGTGCTATATAACATTGCGTTCATGTATGCCAAAAAGGAGGAGTGGAAAAAGGCTGAAGAACATTTAGCATTGGCCATGAGCATGAAGTCTGAGCCCAGACATTCCAAAATCGACAAAGCCATGGAATCTGTCTGGGTAAGTATTATATGGGGAGGTGAGAGGATGTCTTTGGATTTGTGTTTGTTTCAGTGCACATGTGACGGGAGAAACGACAACATTGTGCTTTTTAAAATGTTATAAAATAAAATATATATAACATAAAGTTTGCCATTTCAATTATTTTAAGTGTAAAATTTGTAATTTGGTGGCAATAATTATATTTACACTGTTGTGCAACTGTCACCACTTTCTACCCACAACATTGGTACTTTAATTTTAGGGAATACCTTTGGATATGGTTCCATTAAGATCTTTACTATGTGAAGTGTTGAGAAGCAGAACCTCTGTATCACACTGCTCTTAGAATGGGTCTCAGAGTCAGCATGGAGGGAGAGGATGTTGGAGGCTGGAGTGGCACTGAGCAGCCTCTAAACACTTTGAGGCTCTGCTTGATACCTTTGAGTACTCACAGCCTCAAACAATGCCAGGATATACAGCCTCTCAGTAAAAATGTACCGATTATATGAATGAATGGTGAAAATGACCCAGGGTTTGCCTAAGCATGTTTGGGAATAAAGTTAGAATTATTTACTTATTTATTTTTAAAATTTTTTATTGTGATTTGGGTGTAAATTTACAAAGCAGATTTTTTTACTTTCAACAGTTCATGCACATTTGGTTTCAGGGCCCAATTACAATCCCCAACCATAAAAAGCTCCCTTTGCTGTGACTCCCCTTTCCCTTTGCCCTTCTTATCTACACATTCCTGTCTGTCCAGACTTCCCTCTATGTGAGTGCTGCCCTTCTGATGTCTCATGGTTGATTGATCCAAGGGGTACATTTCCCTAGGTGTTTGGGTCCTCTAGTGCCACCGGAACAGAAAATACTACAGGTGGATTGGTTTGAACAAACGAGTTTATCCCTTGCAGTTCAGGAGGCTAGAAGTCTGAGTTCAAAGTGCCAGCTCTAGGGACTGAGTGAAAGTCCCTTAACCTTGGGCTTCAGCACTGCCTCTTGTTCCCAGCCCACTGAAGCTAGAGGCTTCTCTTAACTCTGGCAGCTGCTGGCTGCTGAAGCTGACAAACCCAAGGCTGACGAGTACAATAGCACAGTCCCAAGATTATCAAACAACACAGCAGGCCACTAATTCAAGTCCATTTCCAGTCCCAAGATCAGCAGACATGGCAGGCCATAGAGATGAAGACTCGGCCAAATGCTGGGTCCAAGCCTGCCAAAAGCTGTCAAGACTTTTCTCAAAGCTTCTCCTTATATACTGGAAGCAGACCACATCCCTAAGGGAGTTACTCAGCTGCTCCAGTAGATTCCACCACTGGAGCTGGTTACCAGTGTTGTCATGGGAAATCCATCTGCCCAGCCACTTAACACCAGGTCCAGCCACATTGACACATAACCTTAATTATCATGCTAAGGTATGTGGGTGCATCTCCCTGGGGTAGATGTTCTGCTTCTAGGTCTTTCTACTGTTGGACTGAAAGCCAATGCATGGAAATGGGTCTAGTTCCAGGCCCAAAGAATAACCCAGGGCCATGGTCTCAGGTGTTCCGCCAGTCTCTATCTGACCAGTAATTCTGATCATTTTTGTATTTTTGAATTTTGTTAGAACCATATTTTTAGAACACCAGGAACAAAGGGACTCATGTCAGTCTTTCTGTGCCTGTTCACATCAGCAAACACCAGTCCCAAGGGAGCACTGTCATGGTGCCCTCTATGAGGAGAGCCCCAGCTGAGGCACATGGATGGGAGAGGGATCGATCCCCAAGGAAAAGATGGTGCCAGGCAAATAACACTGCCAGATGTTCACATAGCCTCTGAACTTAAAGTAATATTGAAACAACTATTCCTACCATAGAGGCCCTAGAATAATAGTAACAAAATCAAACTTGAGAAAACATTATGCTGAATGAAATGAGCCAGACACCAAAAAACAGATATTACATGATTCCACCTATATGAGGTATCTACAATAGGAAAATCCAGAGAGACAGAAAGTAGACTAGAGATTACCAGGGAATGGGCACAGAGTTTCTATTTGGGACAATGCAAAGTTCTGGAAACAGATAATGATAACAGTTACACACACTGTGAATTCCTTAATGCCACTGGATCATAGGGGTCGCTATGAGTCGGGTCCCACTAGACGGCACATAACAACAAGAACTACAACTGGATCATACACTTAAAAATGGTTAAAATGTTAAGTTTTATGTTGTGTATTTTACCACACACACAAAGGAAAAGAATTTTAAAATTTTAAGATTACTCAGGTGAGTACCAAAAGCAGTTGTAAATAGCATTAAATCTAAATAATTCATCCAAATCCATCTGCAAAACTAAACAATAATATCAATATATCTCTTGGAAGACAAAACATAGAACGTTAAAATAATAATTTAAAACCAGCTATTTAATCTATGTTCGTGGGTTATATTAAGAAAAACTGAAAAATTAAAAAAAAATATATTGATCTTAAATTTAGAAAAAGTGCTTTTTGAGGGTACCTCATTTGATTCTTGAATCCATTCAGTGAAGGAGGCAGAACAAGTATTATCACCCCAATTTTGCAGATGAGGGGATACTATGTGTTCTGTGTTATTGTTGTTATGTGCCGTCAAGTCAGACCCGACTCATAGTGACCCCTCCTTGGGTTTCCGAGGCAGTATCACTATGGAAGTAGATTGCCCAACCTTCCTTCCAAGGAGTGGCTGGTGGGTTTGAACCGCCAGCCTTCTGGTTAGCAGTCAAGTGCCTTAGGCACTACGCTACCAGAGCTCCCCTGTGTTCTGTGTTACAGAAGCAGAAGCTGTATGAGCCAGTGGTGATCCCCGTGGGCAGGCTGTTTCGACCAAATGAGAGACAGGTGGCTCAGTTAGCCAAGAAGGATTACCTGGGAAAAGCCACGGTAGGTGGGAGCACTGAGCTTCTCCTGAATCTCCTGTGGGTGGGCCGTACAGGCAAGTGGGGAAGGATTCTTGGGAAGGGGTTACCCCTCATGGTTCTGTTCCTGGGAAGGTAGACAGAGGCTTGTATACACTGTCAAGGTCTTGCTGAAAGAAGGGTGAACACTTTTAGTTTGTTTTCTCCCAGCTCCTCTCATTTCTTCTTTCCAGCCTAATCCTGGGCAAGAGCCACAGGGCTACTCCCAAGATGCTGAGTGTTGGGGACTGAGCCAGTTGAAAAGAAAACACAGCTCTGAGGAGCTCACTAAACGGGGAGAGGCCATGTCAGGGAAAAGCACCGGCGGGGATCCTCTTGGGTTAATACTCCTTGTAGTTCACTTCTCGCTGTTTTTTTGTTTGTTTTCTGTTTGCTTTTTATTGTGGTTTGGGTAAAATTTTACAGAGCAAATTCATTTTCCCCACAGCAATTCATATACATTTTGTTTCATGACATTGATTGCAGTTCCCCACAGTGTAACAGCTCTCTTCCCACGTCCTCCCTGTGGTTATCTCTTCCCTGTGTCCTTCTTTCCTATGCATTCCTGCCCCCTGAGCTATCTCCCTGTGCAAATTCTGCCTCTCTGTTCTCCCAGGATTGTTGGTTCTAAGGAGTGTATCTAAAAAACTCACTGCCATAGAGTTGGATCCGACTCATAGCGACCCTTCCTTGGGTTTCCAAAGCAGTATCGCTATGGAAGCAGATTGCCTCATATTCCTTTCAAGGAGTACTGGTGGGTTTGAACTTGCAGCCTTCTGGTTAGCGGTCAAGTGCCTTAGGTACTACACTACCAGAGTTCCTAGGGAGTGTATCTACCTGATGTGAATGTTCACCCTATATGCCTGTCTATTGTTTGGCTGGAAGCCATGGGCGTGAGTTCAGTTCCAGACCTGAAGGGTAGCTAGAGGCCATATACTTGGGGGGTCTCACCAGACTCTATCAGACCATAAACCTGGGTGTTCTTTATGATTTTGAGTTTTTTTCTACATTATTCTCTCACTCTGTCCAGGATCTCCACCCCTTACTGTTTTGAGAAGTCTCTCCCCACTTACACAGTCTTATGATTAGACTGCTTAAACTGCACTTCTGAAACCTGGTCTTAAATCCTTTCAAAAGTGGTCCAAAGTGAGTCAAGAGCCAGGAAATACCCCTTCCCAAATTGCCCTTGACAGGCACACTTGGAAGGCTTGTGTTGCCTACTTGTTGGGTAGCCAGTTGGGCATAGAAACAGAGGCCAGGAGAGCCTGGGTTAGCAGAGGGTAGGGATGAGTACTTGTTCCTTCAGTTGCTGGAACTTGCAACTGAGAGGGTTAGTAATCTATCCAGTCCTTAGCCAAATATCCACTTCTGGAATGAGTCAAATGAGAACGGACAGGGTGTGAGAAAGAAAAGAATTTTTGGAAAAACCACAGAAGGAGCGGAGTCCTCACACTCTCCTTTCTTGATTTTAGGTGGTAGCATCTGTAGTGGATCAAGACAGTTTCTCTGGATTTGCCCCTCTGCAACCACAGGTGAGATAGTCCTATCTTTCTCCTTGGATCTTGGTCTCCAGAACTCTCCACGGAACACCCAAGCTGGGGGAGAATATTTGTGATAACCTGCTTTCTTTTAAAGGCTCCTTTAACTGGACTCTCTGAGAGTGTCTGCCTGCCTCTCCTCAGACCCAGGCTCCATGGTGGGCAGAAGAATAGGTGGTTTCAGGCTTAACTTCAAGTGCTGTGAAACTTACCATCTGCTTCACTTCTCTATGTTGTAAGAGAATGTCTGTTTACTGGCTTTCCTGAAGTCTTGACCATTCTCTCAGAAGATTGAAATGCAAACTGTGAAAGTCTTTTCATGATGCTTCTTCTTAGTCATGGGTTAGGAGGGGTGTCCTATGGGGCCTGAGGCCGTGGGCTGTCTTCACTCCTGGCGTCTGCCATTGTATTGCAGGGGTCTCCCTCAAGAATACAGGCTAGAATCTCAGGGTGAACCATTCTTCCTCCCAAGCTGGGTTCAGAGAGGTGGTCCCAGATGGACTGAATGACAAGGGGTCTAGAAATACAAAGGCAAAGCTTCTTTGAGAAGGGAAGAAAATAAAGCAGGCTATGGGAACTCTGGTGGTGTAGTGTCTAAGGCATTTGACTGCTAACCAGAAGACTGGAAGTTCAAACCCACCAGCCACTCCTTGGAAGGAAGATTGGGCAATCTACTTCCGTAGTGATACTGCCTCGGAAACCCAAGGAGGGGTCGCTATGAGTCAGGACCATCTCAACGGCAGTGAGTTTGGTTTTTGTTTTGGGAGGAAAATATAAATTCTGTTGCAATAGATCCATGATCTATTGCAAGAGTGTTGGTCAGCACTAGTAGAGGGAGGGTTTTCTGGCCATGGACACCTTCATGCCATGTCCACACTCACGCTTCTTGAGCACTGACAGTCTGCCAGGGTCAGGATGATGACTGCTGACCCAGGATACAGCCAACTTTGGGGACCTGGAGGGGTGGAAGAGCCAAAAGGGACAGAAGCAGAGCCAGCATCAAGGTTCTTTAGTCTCTTTCTTCACAATAAATCACATGGATTTTGGTTCAACCAAAGGACTACAAGAGGGAAAACCAGGCCAGATAACTGGACTTTATGATATTCAGTGTAAGACAGGAAACATTGGACAGAAGAGTCATGCCTGGTCAGTGGATCCTGAGTTCATTTTAAATATCCAGAAGGAGCTTGTGACATACCAAAACCAAAAACCAAACTCACTGCTGTTGAGTTGGTCCCAAATCATAGCGAACCCTCCTTAGGTTTCTGAGGTGGTATCACCATGAAAGTAGATTGCCCAGTCTTCCTTCTGAGGAGCGGCTGGTAGGTTTGAACCACCAGCCTTCTGATTAGCAATCAAATGCCTTAGACACTACACCACCAGAGTTCCCTTAATTATAGAACAGAACTTTTAAAAACTCCTAGGAATGGGACAAAGTTCAAGGTCAAAAGGCCCCTGTGATATGTGTTGCTCTGTGACAGCTAAACTTCTCCAGACACCAGGTCTGGCTTCAAGATTACCTGCTGTGCTAGTGAAACCTGTACCCAGGGAGCTGAGGGAGGTGTTGTTTTCCAGTGTTCAGTCACACTGTGCCCTCTCCCTAGACAGTGTTCTGCTCTAGCCAGAAATGTGTTCTTTGATTTTCTGGTCTGGAAGAATGCTCAAGTTACCATTAACAGTCTGTTCTTTCTCCCCTTGTCTCCTCTCCTCCCCCCATTGTTCTTCTCGTCTTCATTTCTCCTGAACGTTCAATAGGCATCTGAGCCTCCACCCAGACCCAAAACCCCAGAGATCTTCAGGTAAGTCGGAGCCAATATGCAAAATATCCCTGTTCCAAGTCTGAACTGATGATAATAAAGGGACTGAAGAAGATGCAGCCAAGGTCAAGGTCCAAATCCTGTGAGATTTTCCTGGATGTAAGGCACCTTCTGTTTCCAAGGTTAGAATGATATAGTGGGGGTAAACTCAAACCAAATTCACTGCCACTGAGTTGATTCCAACCCACAGCAACCACCATTTGGTTTCTGAGGTGGTAATTCTTTACAGAAGTAGGTTGCCCCGTCTTCCTTCCACAGAGCAGCTGGTGGTAGGAGCCTTTTTTTTTTTTTTTAACTTACATTAATTTTTTTTATTGTTGTAAAAATATATATAACACAACATTTGCCAACTCAACATTTTTCAGGTATATAATTTAGTGTTACCAATTACGTTAATCACGTTGCGCAGCCATCACCCTAAACAGAAACTCACTGCGTGCTAAACAATGTTGGAATAAGAATCTTGACTGTGGCGGAACTGACTACTGGGACCCAACTACAATTATACAGTGTCCTTGTGTGTGTCAATGGTGTCAGCGTGCACAATCAGTCACCCTTGTAGTGAGGGGTTTGCTGAAATGTAGCAGTGTTCTGTGGGACACAGTTGCTGGGGCTGAGATGCTGCTCTGAGGGTCAGAGGTCAGTTTTACTCTGAAGAGGGGCAGCCAGTGCTCTCTGGACAGGACAGAGAGTGGGAAGTTAGACAGGCGTCCTCTTTCCAGTGGGGGGTGTTTTCACTCACTATTGGCACTTGTTTTCTGAAGAAGAGGAAGGATTCAAGAAAAGGAAGTCATTCTTCTATAAAATGAAAAGAAAAGAGTGACAGCTTTCTTAATAAATTCCTCCAAGTAAGCGGGGGGGGGGGGGGGGGCAGCCAAAGCACTTCACTACTTGTAGTACCAAACAGCTACAAAGAAGGAGGGGACTGGGTGAGCTCTTTCCTAAGTGCTGTCAGCTGGAGTCTGTATTCCCTACATAAGTAGATGCTGTATTTAGAAACAAAAGAAATGGCGGGGGAGGTAACAAAGTTGAGAGAGAAGTGTCTTAGTTACCTAGCACCACTATACTAAAAATACCACAAATGGGGTGCTTTAACAAACGGAAATTTAGTTTCTCACAGTTTAGGAAGCTAGAAGCTCCAATTCAGAGTGCTGACTAGAGGGGAAGGCTTACTCTCTCTGTTGGCTGTGAAAGAATGTCTTTGTCTCTTCAGCTTCTGCTTCCTGGTTCCTTGGAGATCTCCATGTGTCTTGGCATTGATCTTACCCCATCTCAGCTTCTTTTGTTTGCTTATTTAATCTCTTCTCTATCTCAAAAGAGATTGGCTCAAGACTTACCCTATATTATTCCTATCTCATTATATAACAAAGACAACCTATTTCCAAATGGGATTATGACCATAGGCATAAAGGTTAGGATTTACAACACATATTTTTTGGGGGAACACAGTTCAATCCATAACAAGCAAAAAGGCCAGGGTGGATGGAGGGAGCATGAAACCATTTACATCAAGCAGCCTTGAAGATGACCTCTTAGTAACACATTCCCAAGTTGCATAAATCAGAATCCAGAGCCTTGAGGAAACAGTAAAGAAGAAATGACATTTCAATCCACGCAAGGCACCCCCAGAATCCTCCTCATACAGCTCTCTCACAGCTCATCTCTCTTGTTCTCCATCCCCTTCACCCTACTTTGGTCCTGTGCTGGCTTTATGTTAACTTCATTCCTTTCCCATTTGGAGCCAATGGATGATGCAAACAGTGTTGCTAACAGAAAGATTGGAGGTTCAAGTCCACCCAGAGGCAACTTAGAACAAAGCCATGGCAATCTACTTTGGAAAAATTAGCCATTGAAACCCCTGTGGGGCACAGTTCTACTCTGACACACATGGGGTCATCAGGAGTTGGAGTCAACTCGATGACAATTGGTTTTTCTGCTTTGGTTCTACTTCTTATCTCTCTCATCCACCTGGCTCTCACCTGTGACTTTTACCTTGTGCTGTTCTCCTGGCCACCCCTCACTTGGTCCAGCTCAGCCCAACCCAGAGAGCGAACCAGACACGCCCGGAACCTTCCTTCTCAGAAGAGAAGGGAGGGCAAGGATTGCAAAGCCGTGTTATTTAGAGTTGTTTTTGTGTTGTTTCTTTTTTCCTGTTCCACTGTGGATATGGTTGTGAAGCACGTTCACATGTCTCTTCTTACCTCATCCCCCCAGGAGCTCAGAGCAGGCAGGTACCCTGCTCGAGGTCACATAGGCAATTAGATGGAAGAGGGAGCTTGGAGCTGAGTCTTCTGGCCTCAAGTCTATTGTGTCTGTTCCATAGCATTGTGAGGGGATATGGTCAAGGCTAAAAACAGGATCTTGTGTCTAATCCTCTGCAGGGCTCTGGAAGGGGAGGCTCACCGTGTGCTGTTTGGGTTTGTGCCTGAGACATCAGAGGAGCTCCAGGTCATGCCAGGGAACATTGTCTTTGTCTTGAAGAAGGGGAATGATAACTGGGCCACAGTCATGTTCAACGGGCAGGTATGCAGAAGGTCAGGGGGTGGTGCTACAGGCATAGGACCCTGGCAGCCAGAGGCAGAGCACTCTGAGAAGCAGTACCTTCCACCTGGTTTGCAGAGCGTCTGAGTCCTGCTTTTGTTTTTACCCCTATGGCTCTTGGTGACTCGGGGCTGCTCTGTGGTGTAAGTACTGATGCATGCATCTTTCTTTTCCCCTCTCTGATTCTGTGATTTGCACTGCAGAAGGGGCTTGTTCCCTGCAACTACCTTGAGCCTGTTGAGCTGCGGATCCATCCTCAGCAGCAACCCCAGGTAATGTAAATGGGCCTGGTCCATTTCCCCACATTGATAGGCCTTTCTGGGAGAAGAAGAGCAGTGTGGAGAAAGCATTGTGACCAGCATTGAACAAGGACTTGCTCATCCTCAGCCCACCTTGAGCTGGCTGCCCAGAGCTGAGGAATGAGGGGGAAAGATGTGCTGAGTGGAGGCATCTGCAGGACCCTCCTAGTTAGGACTGATCTGGACTCAGAGCCTGTAGATTAGGGGGCTAGGTCTTCCCAGATGAGTGCTCCTCACCTGAAAGAAGAGCAGTCAGTGCACTGGCTGGTGTAATGCCACAAAAAAAAAAAAAAAAACAACAACAACAATGGAGAGAGATCTGCTTTATTTAGAACATTGAATCAGAGTGGGCTTTGGCAGGCACTGCTTCTGAAGCTACTACCACCCCTTCCCTGCCCCTCAAAGGTTTGCCCTTCTGCCAGGCCCAGGGAGTGGTCTTTGTTAGACTTGAACAGCCGTGTAAACTATCTCATGGCAATGGAGTCTGTTTCCCTCTAACCTGTGCAATGAGTGGTTCTCTGATATATGGGCTTGGCCCTTCCTGATCAGTCATGACATATGGATGCCTTTAAAAGTTTAAAAAGCCAGGCAGATGGGAGGTGGAATTATTCCTTTGAAGGGGAAAGAGCTGTGCCCTCTGCAGCTGTGACAAGAGCTCAACGCCCCGCCAATCTCCAGTAGATTTCCAATATGGCTGCAAGGGGTGATGAGGCAGCAAGAAGGGCCTTTTGGGTGGAGTTTTCAGATTCAACTATTTGTATTTTCACCAGGCCAACCCTGCTTCCTCCTTTCACCAACACTTTCCTTAGCCTTCCCTGAATGCCACTCCCACCCCAACTTTTAGGAAAGCGTTTGCATCTGGCACTTTTCCATGTGGGTCTGCTGGGTTCCTTTCCACTCCCATCTGAATGAAGGTTCTGATATTCTCTTCCTGTCACATCCAGGAGGAAACTTCTCCAGAGTCTGACATCCCTGCTCCTCCCAGTTCCAGGGCTCCAGGAAAACCCCAGTTGTCACCAGGTTAGTGACCCTGGAGCAAACTCCCAGGCCTAGGGTGCAGAAGTACACGGGCTGCTTCCTGACAGAGTTGCTTTCCTAGTCTCCTAGGAAATCCCTATTTCCTTTCCTGACAGTGCACCACTCAGGTTTTGACCACAGACTCAGAGCCCCCTCCCTGTTGCACCAATCACTGTTGCAAAGCATATTAGGTAGATGCCCTACTTCACAACAGTCTGGACTTCAGGGCTTAGGAGAATGTAGCTGGTGCACTGGGTGCTGGTTTCTGGGGTCTGTGACTGCCTCAACCCAAATAATCACTGAATCCCTCAGTTGTTGGGCATTGAAACCATGTCACAGGGAGAAACGTTGAAGTAACTGCATATATTTACCTAATAGGGGGATGGAGTGACTGTTTTCAGATGTCTGAGGAACCCTATGTGAGAAAGACACCCATTCCTCAGAGCCATGAGGGATAGACAAAGGACCACTTAGCAGTGTGATAGGGAGATTTCCCTTGATAAGGATCTTCCTAATGTGGAGAGGACTTTCTTGGGAAGTGCCGTAGTTATCCAGTGCTGCTGTAACAGAAATAGCACAACTGAGTGGCTTTAACAAACAGAAATTTATATTCTCACAGTTTTGGAGGCTAGAAGTCTGAATTCAGACCATTGGCTTTAGAAGGCAGCTTTGGCTTTCTCTCTCTATAGGCTCTGGAGGAAGGTTCTTGTCTCTTCAGCTTCTGTTCCTTGGTTTCCTGGTGATCTTCGTGTGGCATGGCATCGATCTTCCACTCTCTCTGCTTGCTTTCTTGTTTATTCTCTTTTATATCTCAAAACATTGATTTAAAACATACCCTACACTAATACTGTCTCACATAACAAAGAAAACCTATTCCCAAATGTTGTTGTTGTTGTTGTTTGCCGTCGAGTCGGCCCCGATTCATAGCGACCCCTCCTTGGGTTTCCGAGGCAGTATCACTACAGAAGTAGGATTGCCCAACCTTCCTTCTGAGGAGTGGCTGGTGGGTTTGAATCGCCAGCCTTCTGGTGAGCAGTCAAGTGCCTTAGGCACTATGCTACCAGAGCTCCTATTCCCAAATAGGGGTTAGGATTTATGGCACATATTTTGGGGGAATACAATTCAATCCATAACAGGAAGTAACAGCTTCTTTGTCACTAGTGCAGTTTAAGCATACTCCGTGTAGCCACTTGGGAGAGTTGCACTGATAGGTGGTTTGTCTAGATTCTAAATCAGTGATCATCATGGTCACATGATCATCAGAGTCACCTGGGGACTCCTCCTCCCATTTTGATTTTGAAAACTGGCAAACCTTTTCTGTTAAACAGAAAAGCTGAAATGTAGTACAATAAACACTGGAGTATCTCACTTATTTCTATCAATTGTTAACATTGTGCACCTTGTGCTTTTCCCACCTCTCTCTCTCTCTCTCTCTCTCACACACACACACACACACACACACACTCCTCACTTATCAACATGGTTAGTTTCCAAAGACCAGGTTATTATATGAAAATTGACGTTATGCAACAATAGAGGATGAGCGCATCAGGTCACAAAATGGAGGATGACCGCATCATTATGTAACTGCCAAACCACTGAGAATCATGACTCAGCCAAGTTGACACATACCTTTAAACATCACAGCCAGCATTACTCTCTGATTGCACCTTGGTATTCATTACTACCAGATGTACATTGTTAATGTGCAAGATATTCAGATAGTAGATTTTTTTACTATTGTCATGAATGTGAAATGTCAGATAATGAAATAGTTGATAAGTGAGGAGTAGAGGTGTGTGTATATTTTTCTTTGCTGAGCCACTTGAAAGTAAGTTGTAAATATCCTGACACTTCTCCCTAAATGCTTTAGCATGTATCTCCTAAGAACAAGGACATATGTCTGCATAACCACAGGATAACTGTCGTATCTAAGACATTTGACATTAATATGATATTATGTGGTAGCATAGTGCCTAAAGCACTTGACTGCTAACCAGAAGGCTGGTGGTTCAAACCCATCAGCCACTCCTTGGAAGGAAGATGGGGCAATCTACTTCCGTAGTGATACTGCCTTGGAAACCCAGGAGGGGTTGCTATGAGTTGGGTCTGACTTGATGGCACATAACAACAACAACAATAATACTATGTAATATACAGTCAATATCCAAATCTCTATGATTGCTCCCTAAAATATCCTGGATAACTTTTTGTTTGTTTTTGTTTTTCTGCCTAGAGTCTGATTATAATCAAGGATAACATATTAATGTAGGAAAGTTTTAAGAATACAGTTTCCTAGATCTTAGATTCTGATTTTTTTAGGACTGAATTACAGCTTAGGAACCAATATTTTTAGAGAAAAACCTCTCCAAGTGATTCTGATGATCCCCTGAGTTTGAGATCAGTGGATTTTGGATCATGCACCCCCTACAGTAAATATCTTTAAACATACTTCTCCTACATAAATTGTAGGCATATTGGTACTTTAGTATTTTATGTGCATTAGAAAACATACACAAAAAGGATGAGGTAAAAATAAATGGGTTTAACATTTCTTCTTGTGGCTTATCTTGCACACCCTACTTTTTATTGCTTTGTAGCCCATTGTTTCAATTGACTGTCAGTACCCTCCCAACCACACAAGTTGAAGATGATGTAAGGAATCTTTGATAATGACCTATAAGCTCCAAGCAGCAAAGACTGGATTTCTTCAAGTGTTCGTGGCTTTGTCCTTCATGCTTCCCCACAGTGAGATTCCCGCATAGCTTATTAAGATTACTAATCATCCTAGAGATTAAAGGCAAGAAACTGTGTTCCCTGCTCTAAGAGGTTTCATTTAATGTATGCTGGCCAAGAGTGTTCATTCATCATCTTCTTTTGCCTTACTTCCTACCTTCTCCATTTAGGTCAGAAACAAAGAGAAGAGCCAAAGGTAACATTTTCTTCCTTGTTCCTGTTTCAAGTGGTAGATGATGGATGAGCTTGGGAAATCATCTTGTGGGGAGGTCTCTCTGGATTATAGAAAGGTCTGTAAGTGAGGGCAGAGCCAGTTGCCACCACACACAGAGCCCATGAGTTGGGGATCCCCCAACTCTCTCCCCACTCCCCTACTCCCATGCACACATTCCCACTGGGCAAGAACTGGTGGATCAGATCTCTCTCAGTAGAAACTCCTGCCCAAGCAAGCACTGGGTTAGAGGACCCCTGAAGGCCCTTCACAATGCTATGAAGCCAGTTACCTTCTGGCTTCTCCCCTTCTACATACATAGAGTCCTTGTTTTAGTCAGGGTCCTCTAGAGAAACAGAACCAGTGAGATATATATAATCTCCCATATTTTTACACAAATAATGCATGTGTTCTAAGTTTTTTGCCAACCATGCCCTTCCTACAGGAAGTATTTTCATAAGTGTGCTATGCTAATTGTGGTAGTTCAGTTTGTGTGTCAACTTGGCTAGGCCTGGTTGAGTGACTGGGTAGCTGGATGTAAATTCCCCATGATGAGACTGGCAATCAACTTCATGGTGGAATCTACTGTGAGCAGCTGAGTAGCTGCCTTAGGGATGTGGTCTGCTTCCTTTATATAAGGAGAAGCCTTGGGGAATGGTCTCTAGCTTATGGGATGCTTGAACCCTGCACATAGCTGTGTCATTGTTTAGCAGCCTGCCATGCTCTGCTGAACTTGGGACTTTAAATGGACTTAAATCAATGGCCTGCCATGTGGTTTGGTAACATCGGGACTGTGCCTTGTTACTTGTCAACCTTGGGTTTGTCAGCCTCAGCAGCCAGCAGCTGAGTGAAGAAAAGCCTCCAGCTTCAGTGGGCCGGGAACAGGAGGCAGAGCTGCAACCCAAGGTTGAGGGGCTTTCACCCAACCCCTAGAGCCTGGCACTTTGAACTTGGACTTAAAGCCTCTAAACTGTGAGAGAATAAGCTCCTGTTTGTTAAGGCCATCCCATTTGTGGTATATTTCTGTCAGAGTGGACTAGGTAACCAGAACACTAATTTATTTTACAGCAACATGTAAAAAACATGCAAAAAAATTAGCATAGTGTGCTTACTAAAATACCTGGGGAAGGGGAGGGCACATTTGGCCGGAAAAAAAAAACAAAAAAAAAAAACAAGTAGAATGCATTTGTTATTTGTGTAAAAATATTCTGTATTCTGAACATATGAGCCCTGCGGACACAAACGGTTAAGTACTCAGACGCTAATTGAGAGGTTGGTGGTTCACATCCACCCAGCAACTCCTCAGGAGAAAGACTTGACAATTTGCTTCTGTAAGGATTCTAGACATACCTTGTTTTATTGTGCTTCTCTTTATTGCACTTTGCAGATGTTGAACTTTTTTTTTTTTTTTTTGACAAATTGAAGTTTTGTGACAACCGTGCCTCAAGCAAGTCTATTGGCATCATTTTTCCAACAGCATGTGCTCAGTTCATGTATCTGTCATATTTTGGTAATTCTCACAATATTGTAAACTTTTTTCATAATGCTATTGCACACTGAATAGATTACGGTGTAAGTATAGAATATAGAATATAACTTTCATATGCATTGGGAAACCAAAAAGTTCATGTGCCTCTCTTTATTGTGGTATTTGCTAAATCACAATGATCTTAAACCAAACCCACAGTATCTTCATGGTCTGCCTGGACAGTCAGGAAAACACTAAAGTTCTACTCTGTCACATGGGGTTGCTATGAGTGACTCAACGGCACTTAAGAACAACAAACTCACTGCTGATCGCCCTGTCTACCTTCTGAGGAGTGGCTGGTGGGTTTGAACCGCCAGCTTTCTGGTTAGCAGTCAAATGCCTTAGGCAGTATGCTACCAGAGCTCCTATGTATGTGTGTGTATATATATACACACACACACAAATACATACATAGAGAGAGAGAGAGACAGTAAAACTACTGTGACAGAGTAGAACTACCTCAGGGTTTTCCTGACTATACAGGTATACCATGGGGCTATTGTGGGTTTGATTCCAGACCACTACAATATAGCAGATACCACAATAAAGAAAGGAGCTCTGATGGTGTAGTGCCTAAAGCATCTGATTGCTAACCAGAAGGTTGGTGTGGTTCAAACCCACCAGCCACTCTTTGGAAGGTAGATGGGGCAATTTACTTCTGTAAAGATTTACCACTGTGGAAACCCAGTGGAGGGCCACAATGCATCGGAATCTACTCATATACACGTTGTATATACATGTATATGTATATACACAAACATGTGAATCGTACACACACACACACACACACACACATACATATATATACATACATACGTATATAGAGAGAGACAGACAGAGTGATTGATTTACTTCAAGAAATTGTCTTATAAGATTGTAGGGGGCTGCCAGTCCTAAATCTGTAGGTCAGGCAATAGGCTTGTGATTGGGATAGACATGTAATTCCTGCAGGCTTTTGTCCCAAAATTGATAGGTTGGGTGACAGAAGGAGTGAAGATTAAGAATGTTCTGGGAAAATATCTATTTAACATCTGGAGGCAGCACACACCCTAGGGAAATTCCCTTTTAGCTCTTAAGGTTTTCCACTGATTGATCGAGGCCTGCCCACATTCTGGAAGGTAATCTGCTTTACTAAAGACCAACTGATTTAATCATACACAACTACTTTAAAATAACAAGTAGACTACTGTTTGACTTAACAGCTGGGCACATAGCTTAGCCAAGCTGACATAAAGTTAACAATCACAGTTCTCCCTGCACCCTCACATAAAGCTATCGTGAGCCAGGCGATGTTGCAAGCAGGAAGCCTCAGATGCTCATGAGTTCTCCTTGCTTCCTTTCCCCTCAGGAAGTAAACCTCAGTGTGCCCATGCCTTACACACTCAAGGTGCACTACAAGTACACAGTGGTCATGGAGACTCAGCCTGGGCTCCCCTACAGCCAGGTTCTGGGCATGGTGTCTAAGAAACTGGAGCTCCTGCCGGAACATACTAGGCTGAGGTGAGCTCTGTGCACACAATGGTTTTGGGTATGGCTGGGGACCTGGTGCTGGCCTGGGAGGGTGGAGGAGGAACATGGTTTTTCACACGATGTTCTCTGACTTGGTTCTTTTTATCCCTACCCAGCTACCGGCCTCAGGGCAGCAATGAGTTGGCGCCCCTTTCAGAAGCTAGCATGAAGATTGCCTGGGGCCAAGTGAAAAACTATTGCCTGACTCTGTGGTGTGAGAATACAGTGGTGAGTGCAGGGCAGGGAGGCCGGAGGCATGTGAGGGCATGTTTCATTGTGCCATTTATTTGACAACTGTTCAACATTTATCAAGCATCTTAGATGCCAGCCACCACGCTTAGTGTTGGGGACACGTTAAGTAACAAGATGCAGCTCTGTCTCCCTTTTCTCAGTAGCTTAACCCCAGTTACTACCTGAGCGGGGTTCCCAGAAGGCCTAGGAGCCCCCAAAAAGCCCCCAGCCCACTCCATCTGCTGCCCCACCTAGTAGTTTCACAGTTTATCCTGATCACTGTCAAGCAAAGTTGGAATCAAGACAGAGCTTGAGGCTGAGTTCAGAGCCATTCTTCACTTTGTTAAAATCTATGAGGAAAACCACTTGAGGGTAAAAGAAAGTAACATTTATTTCTGTAAAGAGATGATTCGGGTTAACAAACTTCTAGTGATAGTGAGCATTTATTGAGAACTCCACATGTCAAATGCTGTGCTAAATGCATTCTAGGTATTAATTATTTTAATCCCCACAGTCTAAGAGGTAGGTATTATTAGCCCCATTTTACAATTTGGAAAACAAGACAAAGAGAGGTCAAACAACTTGACTAAGATTACCATGGAGTGGCCAATAGTGCAGCCAGGATTCAGGCAGGCATTTTGACTTCAGAGCCTGCCTATATTCTTAACCACCATGCCATTGTCAGCTTGTCCAATAAGCAAGGGACAATCTACTCCTGTAGTGATACTGCCTTGGAAACCCAAGGAGGGGTCTCTATGAGTTGGATCTGACTTGATGGCAGTGAGTTTGGGTTTTTTTTTTTTTTTTTTGGTACTAATACGTAATGGAAATTTTCACATTTTTTTCACCATCTCAAAGACTGTGCTTCTAGGTATGGCTGGCATCTGTCTCTCTCCCAACCCCACAGCACCTTCCTACAGAATCAGAGTCTCTTTTCAAATTTACAGTCCTTGACATGGACAAGTACCCAGTAAGCAAGGTAAACCAAACCCACTACCACTGAATTGAGTCAGACTCATAGCGACTCATCAGGAGAGAGTACAACTGCCTCACAAGGTTTCCAGGGTTGTAAATCTTTATGGAAGCAGATTGCCTCATCCTTCTCCTACAGAGTAGCTGGTGGGATTGAATCACCAACCTTGTGGTTAGTAGCCAGATGCTTTAGCCACTCCTCCAACAGAGCTGCCTTAGTAAGCAGGCTAAGCTTGGTTTTATATGTGCATCTCTTACTAGTCTGTAGTGAAGTTTCACATGTTTTCATCCATGTGAAATTGTTCATTACAGATTAGTAAGGAGACACAAGTAAGCCTATGTTTACCCTATTTATAGGTAATCCTCCCTGACAATGCTGTACTGTGACCAAAAAAAAAAAAAAAAAAGGGAGACAGGTTATCTTATTAGTTCTGAGATCCAGAAAAGAGTTAACTGACTTTCCAGTAAAAATAAAGGGAGAAGGGAGCAAAGTTAGAGGTTCAAACTAATAGCTACAAGATGCACTCTTGGACTTTGCCCTTAGGTTCCAGAGGAAAAGTTGACATTTTGTTGTTATTGTTGATGTTGTTAATTCCCTCCCCTCACTCCTGGCCCCTGCAAACCACCAAAAACTACAGCTTTGCTTTCTGTCACTGTACTTTTGCCTTTGTGGGAATTTCATAGAAGTGTCTTGTATAATACATACTTACATACTTCTTTGTATTTCAGTAGTCCATTCCTTTTTATAGTTAAGTACTATAAAGCAGATTGTATGTGTATATATCACAGTTCATTCATGGAACTGTTAATGGGCATTTGTGACATTTCCAGAGTTTGTCTAGTGACATTTATTCCTCAACAAACATTTGCTTAGCACCCATAACTCTATAGATGGGCACTGGAGATAGAAAACTAAGAGGACACAGGCCCGTCTCCCAGCAGACTAACAATTACAAAGCATCACCTTAAGTGATCTAACAGATAATACAAATGGTGGATTTCATTAAGGAAACACACAGGGTGGGTAAAGTAAGCCAACAGTGCTGCATGGAGATGGCACAAGTCAGAGTAGTGTTCCTGGAGAAACTGCTTAAATAAAGCCTCGCAGCTTCAGCACCCCCCAAATAAAAATTAGCAAGGTGAATGAAGGTAAGATGTGTTACGTAGTGTGGGAGAACAGAGGGATAACCTAAAAGTCAGAAGACTGGGTGAAGGGGCTCCCTGTTACTGGATGTGAGGGAGAGTGATGGGAGACAAGGGGGCCAGATCAGGAAAGATGTGTAAAGCTGAACTGGGATATTGTGAGCAGGGGAAATGATCTGGTCTTGGTTTGGGTCCATGATCCATGAGGCATAAATCAAGGCAGAAAGATCTGCTGGGCTGGCCAGTGGGCTGCCTCTGAGCCCTCAGCTCTCCATAGTAGTCTGAGACTGGACCCGGCCCCTCGTCCAGTGTTCTTCATTGGGGTTCCTATGTGTTTCAGTTCTTCCTCTACTCTACTGTTTTCTGCCTTAGCATTTTTAGTCTGTGGCATTAGCAGTTTTTAGTTTGTGGCATTAGCAGCTGTATCAGTGAAAAACAAAACAAAAAACCAGTTGCTGTAGACTTGACTTCAATTCATGGTGACCCCCAGCATGTCAGATTAGAACTATATATGATTTTCAATGACTGATTTTTCCAAAGTAGATCACCAGGCCTTTCTTCTGAGGTGCATCTGCGTAAACTCAAACTGCCAACCTTTTGGTTAGTGTGGTAGTTAAGGTTACGTGTCAACTTGGCTGGGCCTGGTTTTGACTGGCTGGGCAGCTGGATGTGGTTATTACCCATGATGAGACTGGGAATTAATTCCATGGTAGAATCTACTGGAGCAGGTGAGTAGCTGCTTTAGGGATGTGGTCTGCTTCCAACACATAAGGAAAAGTTTTCAGAAAGGTCTCTGCAGCTTTTTGGCATGCTTGGATCCTGCGTATAGCCGAGTCTTCATTTAGCTGCCTGCCATGTTTCTTGCTGATCTTGGAACAGTCTCTGGACTTGAATTAGTGGCCTGCTGTGTTGTTTGGTAATATTGGGACTGTGCCATTTTATTTGTAGACCTTGAGTTTGTCAGCCTCAGCAGCCAGTAGCTGCCTGAGTGAAGAAGGCCTCCAGCTTCAGTGGGCCGGGAGCAAGAGGCAGAGCTGAAGCCAAAGGTTGAGGGGCTTTCACCCTCTAGAACTGGCACTTTGAACTCGGACTTCTATCCTCCTGAACTGTAAGAGAATAAACTGTTAAAGCATTCTACCTGTGGTATTTTTCTGTTGGAGTGGCACCACTTCTTGTTATGTGCTGTGAGTCAGACCTGACTCATAGTGACCCCTCCTTGGGTTTCCAAGGTGGTATCACTACTGAAGTACATTACTCAACCTTCCTTCTGAGGAGTGGCTGGTGGGTTTGAACCGCCAGCCTTCTGGTTAGCAGGCAAGTGCCTTAGGCATTACACTACCAGGGCTCCCTAGGTAACCAAAACAGTTAGTACCTGAATGTAGTAATCATTTGCACTACCCAGGCACTCCTGGCATATTGCACTGGGCAAATCTGCTGCAAAAGACCTCTTTTAAAGTGTTAAAGTGCAAAGATGTCACTTTAAAGACTAAGGTGCAACTGACTCAAGCCACGGTATTTTCAATCACCTCATACACATGCAAAAGCTGGACAATGAATAAGGAACCACGGGAAGAACTGATGCCTTTGAATTATGAGGCTGGCGAAGAATATTGAGTATACTATGGACAGCCAGAACGAACAAATCTGTTTTGTATGAAGTACAAATGCGCCTTAGAAGCGAGGATCTTGAGATTTTGCCTCTCATACTTTGGTCATGTTATCAGGAGGGCCCAGTCCCTGGAGAAGAGTATCATGCTTGGTAAAATGGAGGGGTAGAGAAAAAGGGGAAGGCCCTCAACAAGATGGACTGACACAGTGGCTGCAATGATGGTGAGGCTGGTGCAGGCCCAGGCAGCGTTTCATTCTGTGAGTTGGAAGTTATAGCAGCTAACAATAGGCCCTCCTGTATCAGTGTAAACCAAACCAAACTCACTGCCAGTGAGTCGTTTTTGACTCATAGCGACCCTCATTGGGTTTCCGAGGCTGTAAATCTTTACAGAAGTAATCGCCAAGTCTTTGCATCAATGTAGGGGGCATAAAATGAAACAGTTCATGCACGAATCCTTCGGAGATCTATTATTTTTCATTTAAAAATGAGTTTAAAGGAAATGACCAGGCCAGGAAATGGTTTCAGCTCTCTCTAGGAGCTCTGGCTCCTCAAATAAGGTAAGGCATTTGGCTGCTAACCAGAAGGTTGGTGGTCCAAACCCACCAGCTGCTCTGTGGGAGGAAGAGGAGGCATGCACTTCTGTAAAGATTTACAGCCTTGGAAACCCAGTGGGGGTTGCTATGAGTTGTAATGGACTTGAAGACAGTGGGTTTTTTTTTTTTTCCTTTGGTCCTGCCTTTCAGTTGTAAGGATATGCAAAGATAGGGGCAAACAGCATTAGGAAACTAGAACTTTTAACACTCAGTATAGAAGTAGCTAGGGAGCTCTGGTAGCATAGTGGCTAAGACACTTGCCTGCTAATCAGATGGCTGGCGGTTCAAACCCACCAGCCACTCCTCGGAAGGAAGGTTGGGCAATCCTACTTCTGTAGTGATACTGCCTCGGAAACCCAAGGAGGGGTCGCTATGAGTCGGGGCCGACTCGACGGCACATAACAACAAACAACAACATAGAAGTAGCCTGTGGTGTTTCTGATCGTGACTTGTTCAATCCTATGATCCATATCTCTAGAAACCACATCTTTCCCCTTCTTGAGTCAAAAAAGACCATAACTGTGTCTAGGATGTATGAGATAGGCTTTTCTTTTTATAAGAGTATTTATGACAACCTGTTTCATGGCTTTAGAAATGTGGAGCTGGGCAGTAGTTCTCACTTTAGGGAGAATCAGATTCAGCAGGGATGGAATGGAGTTTAGATTCTGTATTACTAACAGCCCCTGTGTTGCTGCTGAAGAAATGGTGTTGGACTTGGAGGTAGGAAAACCAGGTACGAATTCGGGCTCTGCCACTTCTAACTCAACCTGTTTCCCTATGTAAGAAGGAACAGTAATGCCTAACTTCTAGGATTGCTTTGGTAAGGTATTTTAAGACTACACAGTTCTGACCTTTTGATTTCATCTATCTCACCATCTACTTTTCCTGAAATGTGTGTGAGGTCTATACTGGGCACTGATCAACCTGCCTGTATGACATTCTACCCCAGGTGCTGCAATGACATGTCACTGACTGCTTTCTTCAGTGATGTTCAATGTTCACTGGTCAGTTAAGAAAACTAACAGACCCTTCATTATTTCAGGGAGACCAAGGCTTTCCAGATGAATCCAAGGAAAATGAGAAATCTCATAAGCAGACAACAGAACCTCAGTTTAAGGAAGGGAGCCAAGTGGTAGCACTCTTCAGTTATGACGCTACCCAACCAGAGGACCTGGAGTTTCTGGAAGGGGATGTAATCCTGGTGCTATCGGATGGTAAGTCTACAATTATGCAAACTAAAGTGTTGGCAGAAAGAGAAAAGTCAGGGCAGATGAAAAACATCAATAACCTGTAAACCAAACTTTAGCCGGGGGTTTCAATCCTCCTGGCTTTCAGCTGGAGGGAGCAAAATCGAGTGCTCAGTCTCTCCCTGTCACTCTAATGAGCAGGGAAGCAACAGGTGGCCTAGTCAGATGACATCTTGATTATCAGATGTTTTGGAAACCAGATTCTCATTCCTAGTTAGTAAGAGGGTGGTAGGGATAGCTTTGCTTTGTACCAAACATATGATTCTTATTTTCTGCAAACTATAGTACTTTGAATTGATCTATTTTTTGAAGATAAGTGAAGAAAGGGAATATTTACCCTTAAGAGCAGGTATTCAAAATGGCCCCTCTCTCCCTGGTGATTGTTTTGAATGTCAGAAATCAACACTTTAAAAAACTGAAGCAAGAAGTTGAGAGTTCCAAGTTAGCACTTAAGACTTCTTCATTGTGGCCAAGTATAATTTGGAGTTTGTCAAAACTTATTGTTCACCAACTCCCACAGATTATGATTCAGATCTGGGGTGGGGTCCCAAAATTTGCATTTCTAACAAGCTTCTCATCATGACACAAGCCATGATATTTCCAATCGCCTCGTATGCATGTGAGAGCTGGACAATGAATAAGGAAGACCGAAGAAGAGTTGCTGTTTTTGAGTTGTGGTGCTGGCAAAGAACGCTGAAAGTACCACGGACTGCTGAAAGAACTAACAGATCTGTCCTGGAGGAAGTGCACCCAAAATGCTCATTGGAAGCGAGAATGGCCATCACCTATTTTGGTCATGTTGTCAGAATGGACCATTCCCTGGAGAAGGATGTCATGCTTGGTAGGGTGGAGGGCTGACGAAAGAGGGGGAGGCCTTCAACAAGATGGATTGACACGGTGGCTGCGATGATAGGCTCAAGTACAGCAGGGATCGTGGAACTGGCGTGGGATCGGGCAGTGTTTCGTTCGCTGTGCATGGGGTCTCTCTGAGTCAGAAACAACTCTACGGCACCTTAACAACAACAGCAGCAGCAGCAACAAGCTTCTGGGTGATGCTGGTCTACTGACCATACTCTGAGCAGCTGTTCTCACGGTTTAACATAGTTATTTCTCTTCTTAGGCAAAAATGAGATTCCCATCACAGAAGCCTTATCCACATGACCGAAATACTGGTGTATTATTAGCAATGCAAAGGAATGGGAAAACTACTCTGTATCAACTGTAACAGAAAACTCAATGGATTAAGAAACAAATGGGAAATTTCAAAGTTAATGGTGTAGGGAGTGTACAAGTATGTAGCAATTGACTCAAAATGAGTGGTGAAAAACAAGCAGATAACAGCACCAGTGCATGTCTCCCAACAAGGGAAAATGGAAACTCAATCAAGTATTGGGTTTAGTAACTCCCAGTGCCATTTTCTAAGTGTTAAAATCAACCAGCCAGTTAAATTGTTCAGTTTTTTTTTGGGGGGGGGACAGGGATGAAATAAAGGTGAGATACAGAAAAACATTCTAGGTAGACATGGAGAGAAGGCAGTCTATGCCTTACTGTGTTAAGTACAAAAGTCTAAGGCAGTTTAACTCAGGAATCACACCTCTGGAACTTTGTAACACTTAATACAAAACAATTCAGCATAAAGGTGGGGCAAGGCTAGGGAAGACACAACTTGTGTGTGGAAAAACTATCCAGATAAACCGATTTTATCCTAGTTTTAGAAACTGATACATACTTTTCCTTTTGTCAGTGAATGAAGACTGGCTGGAAGGCGAGTGCAAAGGGAAGATTGGGATTTTCCCTAAAGCTTTTGTTGAAGAGCGTGCAGCTCCCGGAGAGGTCTAGGCTGTTCCACAACATACAAAGCTGAAGAGCGCGTTATTGTTAGCACACTTTAGCACTGCTCGGCAGTACACTGTACTGAAACATTATAGTTTGGAAAATTATTAATCTACTTTCCCTTGTCAAAATCTGACCTATTAGACAACGTGAGAACCCAGGATGATGACTATTCTGAGGTGGAGGTTGGAAACGTCTGCAAGGGGCATGACGGAGTCTTCTAGGGTGCTGGTGATCTGTTAATTGCTGTGTCCTGGCTACACAGGTATACTCACTTTGTGAAAATTCACCAAGAGTTGTACACTTACAATTGGGTGCGTTTTTCTTATCTGTGATAGCACAATAAAAATTTTACCTTACAATAAACAAGGCACCCAGTGCCCAGGCCCCAGAACTAGGTTTAAGTATTTCTGTTCTGTACCATTACTATTGTAGATTCCTAAGGCCTAAAGTAACTTAAGGTAATTCAGAAGGCAAGCATACAAAATTCACTTTTGTTCATTCATTCAAAGTCCCATCATTTAAATAGAACCTAGACTGAGCTAGGTTTCCATTCAATTCTATAGAAAATTAAAATACTAGAATTCGATCCTTTCATGCCTTCTTAGACAACATCTGTTAGGAGTTCAATACTAAATCAATGCCACTAACACTAGCTCTGGTAGCATAGTGGCTAAGGCACTTGCCTGCTAACCAGACGGCTGGCGGTTCAAACCCACCAGCCACTCCTTGGAAGGAAGGTGGGCCAATCCTACTTCCGTAGTGATACTGCCTCGGAAACCCAAGGAGGGGTCCCTATGAGTCGGGTTTGACTCGACGGCACATACCACCACCACTTAAGTGGTGAAAGTAACAGGTGGTTGGTTGTATCCCTTTATTTAGCACTTTATAATACAACACCGTACTTATATACATGATGGAATTTTAAGTCCCCCCCCCATATCACCAGATGACCCAGGTTTTCAGGGTTAACCTAGGTGAAGGATTCCATAAATACTAGACCTTAGGACCTAGCATTAATCCTCCTTTCCTTGTAGAATATATGCAGCTTTTGAGGTGTGCACAGCCAGCCCCCAAATTATGAACAAGTTCTGTTCCTAGGTCTGTCTTTTAAGTTGAATTTGTATGTTAGTCAGAATACTTATCTGGTCATATCTGTCCTAAAATAGTGTACTTTTCTATGCACAAAAAAACACTGAATACTTACAGATATATTAAAACATCTTTAATACAGTAGTAGTGCTTTGATGTGTGTCTCAAAAGTAGCATCCATGTGTTGTTATGGGCCATTTAAGTACCTTGAATTTTTAATATACTAGGCTTATGGGGGGGTTTCCTAAATATGGGTCATACTGGATGTTCATAACCTTGGGGGACTGCCTGAAGGTCTATGTGAAGAGTCAGGAAATGCATTATAGACAGAATCAGTATGTCTCTGAGCAGAACTGAGGCCGCTAACAGTGAGTGAAAGGACAGTTAGCTGTAAGTGTGAAAACACATTATCAGCTAAATCTAGCACACTGCAGAGGCCCTGCCAGGCTACCAGGGGAAACTGCATACCCTGGAAGAGATACCAACCCAGAGTAAAGAACGGTAATAACTGCTGATAATAGACAAAAGGATAAACTCTCTGAATTGCCCAATTAACAGCTAAAAAGGGAAAAACTGGTGAATGTTTTAACTCCTATATGTAAGCCATTCTTTATTAAAAGAATTTGACAGTTTCTTTCTACATCCCTTTCCATAACGCCGCACTGGTTTTGAACGCCACTAAAAAAAAAAGCAAAAAAACAAAACCACCGTGAAGTATATCCAAGTTCTAATCAACTAATTATCTTTGCTTCCCCTTCCCATGACTTCTGAATGGTTTATGCTTGCTTTTTCACCTTTTCATGACCCAGTTATTTTCTGTTTTGAATTTGTTGATACCACCACATTTTCAGCAATGGAAGGCACGCTGAAATCAAGAAAAACTGTTTTGTGGTAATACGGACTTTGATATAATTATGTAGGGCACACAGTTCCCAAGTGGACTCTGGTGGTAGGATTGGTGAGGTGAAAGCTGCTTCTTCACAGTCACACAGTTATAGATACAGGTCCTCACCAGGTGGCAGTATACACTGCAATTGGGACAGGAGTTTCCCAAGAAACCTGAAGCTGAAAATGTGGGTGGGTGATAGTTCCCACAGGTCACGAAAGGGTTACACTGGATTTTCATTACTACTGTATCCTTGATGATAGGAAAACAAAACAATACACATAGGTTTGGTTGGAGAAAACATGTTTTAATTAAAGGCAAAGCTGATTTTAGCAGCTGCAGGTCTTGCACAGACAAAAAGTAAAAAAAAAAAAAAAAAAAAAGGAAGAAAGAAGAAAGAAGAAAACAAAACGAAAACCCACATAAGAGTTTACTACACAAAACCAGTTTCTGATGAAGATTCTCCTCCCCATCCTCTTTACTCCACAGTGAGGATGATAAGGCGAGGAACCCCGCCCCAAGGGTCAGAAAACATTCCAAACACCAAATTCTCATGCAGAAATGGGGCTGCAGATGGGAGTCGGGCACTACTGGGAGTGAGATGGTGAACCTGGTTGGTTTGTCTAGGGTGCAAGAATCAGTGATGGTTCAAACACTGGAATGTTGCAGCTGCCTGAATGCAGAGCTCAAACACACAAACTGGGTAAAGGTAGTAGGGGAGGAGGCTATGAAGGGCGGAAATAGAAGAAAGGTGACATAGGGAAGGGGCTGGAGAGAAGCACAAAGGGTTTCATATTGCCATTGGGTGGGGGGCTTCACCCTTTCGGACCTTCCAAAAACAAACAAACAAAACCAAAAAGCCCAAACACCATGTCAAACTAAAAAAGCATTAATGTAAGCATGGGGGGGAGGGAGGGACTTCAAACCACTCTCTGAAGAGCATTGAGCATTAATCTTACTCCTTTAAATTGCTGGGGATGCCCAGACTCCAGCGACAACTGGGGCTCCTGGATGTGCTCTGCTATGTAACTGTTTTCCAGCTCTAAAGTCCCAACCTCACTGTATACACTCATCCGTCCCCCTCTCCCTCCAGGACAGTGGATGGGCATGTGCACATACACCCCCACACTCACACAGACACAAGGAGAAGCCTCCCAGAAAATAAACCCTACCACTAGCACAGCAACTGGACATTTGGATTGTTTCCATAATTTCCCCTTCAAATATTACTTTCCCAGGAAATGACTAACAGAAATGCTGTCTTTCTGTTTCAAAGATTCAGTCCTCTGTCCTCCTAATAAATTATCAAATAGAAAGTTGCTTTTCCTTCCTTCCACCTTTCCCAAAATGGACTTCGTTGTGTTTTCTTCTGTGCAGGACTTGCACATGTCCACGTTGCCTTGAATGTCACTCTGAAAATGGGGGTTGGGAGACTGCCACCGGCCAGAGCCCGGCCCCTCTGTGGGCGATGCAGACGCTGCTGCCACTCTCTTCTTCTCCAGACTGTCCTTCGGGGCCCAACTGCTGGAACCCACGCTGTTGCTTCTTGGTGAGATGTTGTACACAATAGGAACAAAAACAATTACTAGCATACAGCATAGGGCAACAAAACAATGGAGGTAGGGGCAGAAGGATGTGGGTGGTAAGGTGGGGGGGCACAAAAACCAGCCAAACAAAAAGTAACCACACTGAAAGCTTCTACCTATTAAAATGTGTCAGGCCATGAATGGACACACTAGCCTGCCTTCTGTCAGACTGCTTGCTATGCTACCATCAAATGCACAGAAATTAAAGACGTTAATTTAAAATCCTACAGCAGTCACCTGCTAGTCCAGCCCAGCACCCCCACCCACATGGCATCCTCAATTGGGGCTCGAGCACCTAGAGTGAAGAGCATTCCCCACTGGGTCTCCAGGCCAGGGGAGGGCCTACCAGAACCTTCTGAGTGAAAGGTGAGGCCATGTACTCTCCCTTATGGAACGCTTCCGCTGGCCAAAGAGGTCAGTTTCTCCATCCTGTCACCACCAACCTCTTACAGGAGCAGTGAACAGGGCTCTCTTTGCTACACACTGACTAGAAGAACATCTGTGTATGAAGAATTCAGTGTGACATCTTACTACTGAGAATAATAACAATAATAAAAGATGTTGAGGAATAATTTCAAACTACATTCTCAGTCAGCAAAGCAATCATTAATGGATTCCTAATTTATTCCCCAATGAGGAAAAAAGGACTGAGAAGTTCCCATTGGCTTCTCTCATCTGCCTTTCCTTCTCAACTTTCACTTCCCATGTGGCTGGGGACATGCACAATGGAGAAGGTGAGAGGCGGTGATATCAGGTAACTGAGTGAGACAAACAGCAGTTCCTCTCTCCCTCTGGAAGGCCCCAGGGGGACGGAGAGTTCCTGATGGTTTTTTCTTTTTGTTGCACTGCGGACATTTCGTGCACACTCAGCGGGCTGGTGGAACACTTACACCCTCTTGACAGCAAGGAACAGAAAAGAGGGCTGCCACCTGCAGGGGACTGTGTGGGCCAGTCCTGCAAGCCCAACATGCCATGGTTTATGGAGCCTTCATTCCCAGGGTTGCCACTTTGGCCTCAGTGTGGTGGGTTCATGGTGCCTTGTCCCCGCTGCTGTTTCTGCTTCTGCTGCATTAGCAGCTGCTCCAGAGCGGAAGGTCCAGGATGCATCATGGAACTGGACCAGATAGACTGAAAAACAGCCCAGATCTTGTCAGCAGAAGTCAAATGCGTGGTTGTCTGAAAGGGATTTGTTTTTCAATCCCAGCTAAATAAAATTGCACATGTGTACCAAGAACTCTAACCCATCCCGGAAAAAATCCAGCTATTAAAAAAGCCCATATAATACTCTCTCCAAGACTAGTTCATTCACATTAAGATTTTAAGCTTGAAAAGTGAAACTATGTTTCATATAAAGTCTTTTACTAAGGATCAGCTGTGTGGTACCACAGGCTATTTACTACATAGGTTTTAGGCACACAATACGTTTCTAAAATTTAATACCGTTCTTTAATTTCATCAGAAAAAGA